CCTGCTGCCACACAAAATGCATTTCCTTTCGGCACTCTCTCTTATTAGACCAAGTATTATTCCAACTTTAACATATTTACTGTGAAAGAACACAACTGGCTTGACTTCTTTCCTTTCAGCACTCTCTCTTATTAGACCAAGTATCCTTGCCTTTTGTGAATACATATACCTCTAGCTGAGGGTCAGGACTGCTATTTGCCTATGATTGAGATGAACATTGCACAATATCTCTGATGGTGAGCATGTATTTTAAAATTTATGTATTGGTTCAAAATTTCAAATATTTGTTTACAAATATTCTCGAGATTCGCATCAATTTATTGAACTCCCAATTCATTTAAGCTCAGTATTTTAATCACCAAAAGTGAAAGAAATTTGTTAGTAACTGAAAGTGAAAGAAATCCGTTAATGACCGTTGGTATAATGTATTTTTGATGTTTGCTAGAGGTACAGTTTGATAAAGCTTGTGTTGATTTACACGTTTGATACTCTAGTTACTTGATGCCGGTGGATATGTCATCCTTGGCCAAGTTAGTCCAAACTATTTTTATTTCACCATTTGTTGATCAATTGATGGTTTCCACTTTCGAGGGTGTATATGAACGTTTCATTATAGTGGCCTTTTGCTTGCTCTGCTGCAAGGTTAATGGTACTTTCTAAATTAAATAACTTGAGAAGTCCTGTTCTGTCTACTCGTTGTGATGTGCCCACAATTTCTGTTTGAATCTACTTTAGATTATTCTTCACATTCCAGTGGTATATATCTTAAGAAATTTCTCGACTTTTAAAGTACTATATCTTTCGATTTGAACTGGTTTCAACTGGATTAGAGTATATGTATATGCATTCTTATTCGTGCCAATTTATTAGCTAATCTATTATTGATCATGGTTTTGGAGGAAAAAATAGAGGACATATACATTTGCATATTCCAATTTGATTTATGATTTCTCGTCCTTGTAAGAAAGAGGCGTCCATGGAGGGCTTTCCTTTTGTATGGTCATATTCTTAATCAAGTTATCTATTAATTTCTCAACAGATTGCAGTAGTGTTGAAGGAGTTTGTGACTGTTCCAGTGTTGCCTATTTTAATCCAGGTTTGAATTAATTTTTTGTAATTTCAGTTTGTGTGAAATTTTATTGTCAATATGATTTACCTAATTGGAACATGATTTCTATGATGCCCTAATATAATCTTTTTTGCTTCATTTTTACCGTGTTATAATAGATTATAACTTAATAGTGTTGGTATATTATAATGGATAAAGATTGAGTACACTTATCAAGATTAACTCGTCCTCTTAAATTTGGAATATTTTAAATATGTTCATAAATGCTTTTTATGTGATTTATTTATCATTATTTTTATAGAGTTTTGGAGGCATATCAACATGGTGCAAAAAAATTTGTAAATATGGTACAAGCTAATACAGGGAATCCAAAAAAGGTCATATGCCCTTGCAAATGTTGTAAAACCCTATTCCACCAACATTTTGATATAATGTATGAGCATTTGATCATTAATGACATGGATCACCTCACTCCGATTAATTCCCATCAAACAAGGACATATCTCTTGTATTATTGTCAAACTGCTCGTCATTGTGTTACGTGTATAATATTTTATTGGCTCAGCTCACTCCAATAATCATATCCATGTCGGAGTTCATCAAAGTTAACTTGTCCATAACCCAACTCTAATAAATCTAATCGCTCGACAATATCGTATGTATATATTCAAATATCACATGCATAACAAAAATTCCGAGATGCAAGAATAAAGCTATGAGTTCATGTATATTATGTATATGCAACTCATTGTAGCTTGGGGAATCCCCAAGGCTTTTTTAAAAAAATCTAATTTTGTACTTTCTGATAAGTCTGAATGACGAATTATTTTCCTTCACGGAATTTGAAATAATATAGATAAGTTAACTCTCTCTCTCTTTCTCTCTCATCCATTTTTTTTTTTTGGCAGTAATTTGAATTATGTTATAAAATTAAAGAAATAAAAAAGAAATATAGAGAATAAATAGAGACAAAAGTAGAGACAAAATTCAAGCGTGTTTTATCGAGAACCAATACCCCATATTTATGGGTTAAAAAATAAGAGTTACAATTGAAATTAAATAAATCTTATAGATTAGATAAGACTTATTTTTGTATCATGATAATATTAAATAATCATCAATAATTATCTCATTATTTTACAACATTTCCCTTTTGATAATTATTTAGACAATAACTATCTCATTAAACCATTGTTGGGCAAAACTCAATGAGAAAAAAATACCAACAAATAGAAAAAGAGTACAAATAATTTGGAGTGAAAAAATAATGTCTTGTTAAAACCCTTTCAACAAAACTCAGTGAGACAAAACTCGATCGAAGGAAAAAGAGTACAGCTACCCTTTTATGATTTTAGTTGTATCAATTTATCATTGTTTTGTATGCCAATATTTTCAATATTGTAATTTCTGGTGAAGTATGTCTCATGTTGTCTTGTATAGTTTTCAAATAACACCATTTTCATACGAGATATTTATCGATCTTTGATGACTATAGTAACATGATGATTCGAAAAATAGCTATTGTTGATCTATTCAAGAGTTTCATATGTATCAGAGTATTATTTTAAGGATAAATGTCTTGTATGTTATGGATATTCATCAAACAAAAAATATGCCTTGTTAAAAATTTATTAGGAAAAATCCCATGAAAGAAAATCCTAATAATAAAAAGTACATTATTCTTTTGAAAATACGTTAAAAAAATTGTCTCATTAAAACCTTATCAAAAAAGTCCAATGTGACAAAACCATGGTCAAAAGAAAAGTAGCATAACACGTCTTCTCTCCCTCTTGATAATAGAACTTGAATTATATACTTCAATCATAAAATCTTTCAAGGATAGTATTAAAACCATCCAAGTCTCATCATGAGTATTTCCTTAATATAATCATCTTTGTTAATTGCTCCATTTTCATTTAGAGATTTTAATATTAGAATTGAATATCATCACACTTTCAAATGTGCCATAAATTTATCAAATATAATATTAACTAACTGTCATATAGGACGTTTATTCAAATGGAGCATTTAAAACAGGTGTGTAAGATATTGTTAATCTTTTTGGTCAGTAAATACAACTAAATTAATTATCTTTCAAACTTTTGGTTCGAATATCTTTTACGAAGATTTAGATAATGATGCATCTGTACATTATTTTCAAGTCAAATTGATAATCAAAAAAACCATTTTATATAATATAATCCGTTAGGGTTTGAAATATTGTACAAGGGTTCAAATTACTTATATATATTCTCATCATTCTTTACTTTCCATCTTAGTGCATTATGTGGATCAATTTTATATCTACTGCACTATCAAAATAATTAGATGAAAAAATTAGACTTTGACCCTAAATAGAAATGTGAAGTACTTTGTTCTCAAGAATAGAAGGTGTTTAACAAGTAATAGTATTAAACCATTTATTGACATCTTAATTAACACTTATATAAGGTTGAGATTTATGACCACTAGCATTAAGAAAACATACACGTCATAACTGTATAATCTAAAATTATGCTCTTAATTTAAAATTTGAGCAGTAATTTCGCAAATTTCAGGTTACGAACACCATGCAACCATCTAGCATGTGTATCAAATCTATTAAATATAAATAATATTTAGATGGTCAACATGAATGATGATGTGGTCACATATATCACTTTAATTAATTTTCACAAAATATAGGGAATTCAATCCTTATTTTAGTTAGTGATGATCAATTTTCAATAAAGAGAACAAATATTACATAGGAATTCATTTGATTGAAGAATCTTCTGATTTTTCATTGAATATCCATTTTGATTTTTTTTTATTTCGCATCATTATTGAACCGATGATGATCGAACTGGTCATGCCAAATAATAATATATTTAGTAATTGAACTTCTGGTTCAATATCAATACGATGCTTCAAATTTGAATAACTATTTAATCAAACAAAAGATGCTTAATTCTCGAAAATATGATTGACTATGATATAATCATATAAGAATTAATGTCCACATGATATGAATTGTATGTTTTCCTTCGGAGAAAAACACAAATTCATAAATTACAAATATGATATATTTTTTGAAATATGTGCTACTCCGATAGCATGTTGTATTTTACTATTACTTTTTCAAGAGCAATATATGAGTATTCGTTTGAAATATTGAAAATTATAATTCATATTGTCTAGGAGCAAGTGATATTATTTTGGAATATTAATTATAATGTTGTGTAACTTCGAGGACAACAACGAACTATTACTTCGAAACATTAACTTTTCCAGAGCCATATGTTTGCTTATTCAAGAGCAATATATCAATAATCTTTTTTAATATTGAAAATTATAATTCGTACTTTTACCCAAAAATCGATCGATATTCTTCTGGAACATTGAAATAGTAATATTATGATATTAACAATGTCGTACTACTTCAGGAGTACCAACGAATTATTATTTAAAAACATTAACTTTTCAAGAGTATTTTATAGTAGAATATTAATTATTTGTAGAGTTGTGCTTTTTCATGAGCAACAATACGATCAATTTAAAATGTATAAACGAACATAAAAAATTTTTTAATCATGTTGTATAATCACATTTTTTCTTTTTCATACAAAGATAATAATTTACATCATTAGTTCCAACACATAATCACAAGATAATGCTTACATTAATTTAATATACTATTAAAACTAATATAAATCATTGCTTTTAACAATTAAGTGCATAATGAGGTGTAAAGAAATTTAATGGAATATGCATCCCAACACTTATAGATTAATTTTTCTACACAGACCCCATGCAACAAAATTTTAATGGAGGAAAGAAATTATTATATTATAGGACATAAATGCAAATTCCATCATAATATTCAAGTAAATGGCAGACATACGGGGTTTTCAAAATTGAGTGCAAGACATGAAATATTCTAATTGAGTGCAGAATTAGAAATTTGGGTGCTGAGATGTGTAATATTAAAAAAAATCACAATGTGAAATTGGGTAAAAACTTTAGTGCAAGGAATTGATCCCTATTTTTTTCTAAAAAAATGGTTATTAGATAAAAACGTTCGTGTTGATAACATTTTATAAAGTAAAAGTAATAGAACAAAAAGAGAAAAAATATGAGAGTCAAAACTCAAGCGTGTTAACCAATGCCCCATATTTATAGAGTCCAAAATAAGAGTTACAATTGGAATGAAATAAATCTTCTAGACTAGATAAGACTTATTTCATTATTTTACAACAAATTATTATATATCTATGAAATTTTTGATAGTCATCAAGCATTTTATATTTGATCTTGTTCTGTATAATAATTGTGATCAAATAAACGAAGTGGCTTGATACGCTATTCACCACAATCAGATTATCGGTCGAGACATAAAAGTTTCTTATTTTTTGTCGATCTTTGTCAGGGATGCTTCCCTTTTTGGCGGTTGGCTTCCTATTTCTGACCAATATCTCAGGGTCTAATGATGTATACAATGAAGGGTACGCAGTTTTGATGAAGGATCCTCTAATCACGGCACGGATAAGGCAAAAATACGTAGTGTTAATGTTGCATTTGTTGAAAGTCAGGCGTCTTGCTTTTGTTGAATTAATTTAATCATTTATATGCTATGTAGACTTTTCTGGTGTCGAATCATCAAGTCCGTTAGCTTTTATGAAAATGGATGAATAGAGTGACGGATGATAAACAAGAAATAAAATTTACGAATCGATTTTGAATCCATGTCAGTGGAGTGATCAAATTGAAAGGCGTAATAGTTAGGCAGAAATCAAAAGAATGAACTAAAAACAGTTCATCGTTACATGGCTTTATATCTCAATTTATATTTAGACCACGTGTTTTGCTATGATCTTGTTTTGGTTTTGCAACCACAATTGTTGTTCTTGCAGCAATTTCTGTTGATTCATGGAACTGTTAAACATCTGATCACCAGAAAATGCAGTACTCGAATATGGCGTGAATGGATCATTCTCGATTTGCGCTACAAACGTTGCCTTATTCGGATTTTGAACCGAAAATGTAGGGGTTGCTTGAAATGAAGGTGTAGGACTTAATTGGGATGAAGATGTGGAGCTGGCTATAAATGTAGGCGACGATGATGAAATCGTGTGTACAACTGGAACATTAGTCGTAGAAATAGCAAATTCGAATGCATCCTGTAGGAAGGGGTTATAATGGTTTGATGGCAATGTACTTTGGTTATACAAACTGTCCAAGGAAGTGGCTGATAAGCTGTTATTGTTTTGTATTGGCTGAGTGGCTTGTGGTTCTGTAAATAGTACAAGCTCCCAACCATTTCTTGAATCTGCTGAAGCATTTTTCTCTACTGGTTGTGTCGATTCTGGTTCTGGATGTTTGTTGAAGCTGTTGGCAAAGTTACTGGAGGGTACATGTGGTGATGCTGATAGTGTCTCAGCTATTACCATCTCCCATTCTATGATAGAAGTAGACTCTGAGGCCTTTGGCTTCTGCTCCTGTTCTTGATCTTGCTCGCGGTTCTTCTTGTCTGGATCTGACCAATCGTCTAATGAAACGAGATCAGCCATTGAATTTGACACGGGCAATGAATGGGTTGAACCTGATTCACTTACTCCAAATGCTTCATCATGCTGTGTTCGTTTCTCAAACTGACCTGAATAAGCCTCCAGGTCTATTGAGATTGATGGGCTCTTCCCAGTTTCCGTGGCACTAATTAGGTCTTCCAAGGAGGTACCTTGGGAACTGTACTTGGAAGTTCGCTTATAAAGTCTGTCGGTGGCAGTGGTGTATTCAGTCCATCCACCGTAACTATCAAGCCATCCAAATTTTTGATCGGCATTTGCTGGTGGTCCGAGAAGTGGCAGGGGCCGATTTGGAGACATGGAGTTTTTCAGAAACGAAGATTGATCTTTCAAAAATTCTTGCAATGTTTCGATCAGCTCCTCAGATATTGCCTGAATACTTGGATATTCCGATGTCCTCCCAATGCCCATACTTTTACATAAGTTATAGAAAGCATTGAGTTCTTCGAATTGCTTCGCAGCCTTGACACAAGTTTGAAATGCGCTAATGCAGTTCTGGTACTGTAAATGAAAGAAACTATCGAGAAGAAGGGAAAGTCCATCAGAAATGTCTTTGTATAAATCAAAACTTTCTTGCACGATGGCATAAAGACATATTTTTACCAAACGATTCATCTTGGCTGCACCAGTTGGGCGTGTGGCTATGGCTCGTTCAAGCAATCGTTGCCAATACGAGATTCTATCAATTAACATTGCTGGTTTCATGTCACGGACATGCTCATTAGTCCTCTTGTTCCGATGGTAGCTCCAGCTTTCCCTCTCCTGGTGTGTATATCTACGTTGAAGCTTCCCCGTCAGAAAGCAATCTAAACGCTCATCAAGATAAAGAGCAAATGTACGAACAAAGGCCGTGTAATCCCAAGGGCTTGAATTCGAATCATCTCTGAAGCTTGATAGATTAAGAATCTTGGCACCCCTTTTCATCGCATGAAGAACTTCTCGTGGGAAATAAGGATCGCCATCTTGAAAAATTCGAAGAACAAGCATCAACGATTTTAAGGCAACAACCCAATTACGTGTTCTGCCTATCCGTTTGCCAATTGCACGGGCACAAGCAGCAGAATAAACTTTGTTAGACGAAACCAGCTGCAAGATTTCGTATATGTATCTATAATCAATTGGGATGTCATCATGGGTCGTGGCTTTCAGCACCGCAACGTCAAGAGCTGAAGAATTGTTGCTTGTAACCTTGGCAATGCTAATGCTGGTTTGATCTTTAACTGCGCCAATTGCCTTCTTAAGCTTGCTTGGCATTCTTACGCGTTATTCACCCGCCTACAGCTGAAAATATCACGTTGCGCTACAAAATATTTCTATATCAAAACCATAAATGGAAAACAAAACACTTCGTTTGTAATGTGTTAAAAAAATTCTTCTTTTTTGTTTTGAGAATTATAGGGACAGAAAAATGTGTAAAAACTATTTGGTTTTGGAATAGCCTTTTTCATTTTTTTTTTCCTTAAGAGCGGATAAAATAGTGGGCTTCCTTAAGTCTCTCCTAGCCTCATAAATGGACATGGTCTAGACTTCTTATAGTTAATATTTTGTGCCATAGAATAAGTTCCTTCTTCAAAGACTACGTGTGGGGATTTTGGCATAGACCCCTACTCGCATGTATAATCAAACACAATTACAAAGAGGGGACGTGGTACCTTACCTTGACACGAATGAAAGGAGCTTGACAGTTAATAATATTGCACTTGAAATTCGAATGAAAAACGTTTCCAGTATATCATTCGTTATTTACAAGGTACTAAGGACGAATTCGTGACTAATTCTCAAATATATAGTCCTGTAAGAGCAAAGTTAATCTAAGTCAATTCAGCTCATCCAGCAGGCTTATATCCATTTAAAAAGAGCAAAAAATGGCCACTCGGGGCACATTCCAACTGGTAAAGGATGGGGCTCTTAGTTGTTGACAGTTCAAAAGTCGTGAGTTCAATTCATGGGGCTTTTGGAAGGTAGACTCTCTCCTGGAAGGCTTGATTTATTATGGAAGGATTCTCCTTGAATGCAATGTGCAACATGTGTTGACTCGCTCGACACTTTGGCCGATCAGTGGAGGGGGCTCTTGGACTCTGGGCCATTTGGGACACATCCCGCGGTTTACCTGATCTGCGTCTTGAGGGGTCAAGACTTAAACCCCATGATTAGTCGTCGAAGGTGGACACCTGAGTATAAAGTAAAAAAAAAAAAAAAGAGAGAGTAGAAAATGGATAGCGAAAACGCACATAAATTCTATTATACACGAGATGAGGAGGGAAAGTCTAATTAGATCTCATGTGGAATAGATTTTCCTCGGCATTTGGTGTGTTGGGAACTCGTCATTCTTCTTGTTTTAATTACAAAGAGTTGGACTCAAATGTAGATTTGGCATTACAACCTCTAAAAGTTTTTACGGTGAGCATCCGTATTGCATATTGATATCAAACATCTGAAATCCCAAATATTCTAGAATCTCTCTTATATTCAATATTTTTCTTATTCTTTCGCTAGATGTATATTCAATAACTCAAGTAAGTAGGGATGACAATAGGGCGTGGCAATATTTCCCATTCTTGAGTTATCAAGATTTTGTGAAGGAGCCGATTGGATTAGATTAAAATATGAGTAAGTCTTAATGTACACTCTTGTGTACATTAAGAGTGTACATTAAAACTTACACTCCTCTCATAATGGAGTGTGGGGTTCGCAATTTTTTAAATTACGGTCCTCACGATTGTGAGAGGAGTGTAATGCATGATGTATACCCAAGTATCTCTCTTAAAATATTATCATTTATCGTCTCATTTAATAATTTTTATAATTTGTAATCCTTAGAGCAAGTGTTCCGTTGTCCTCGTGACCCGTTAACTTGACAGAAAAAAAGTTCGAATTGTTTACCAAAAAGCCCACTTCCCGACACCAACCACCGTCCACCCATTTCAACGTTACAACTTCAGATCATCATCATCATCAATTATTCACACAAGCGGATGGGGGACAGCTTGATCGGAGTAGAGGTGCCGAAGATGAAGAAGCCGGAGGAGGAAACTACAATAACATCATCGACAATAACTGAAGGGGAGTTCGAAGTTGAGGCGGAGGCGGAGGTGGCGGACAAGGAATTGCTTTGCCCAATTTGTATGCAGATGATAAAGGATGCTTTTTTAACGGCATGTGGGCACAGCTTCTGTTATATGTGTATTGTTACTCATCTCCGCAATAAGAGCGATTGCCCTTGCTGTTCTCACTCCCTTACCCCCGATCAACTCTTCCCTAATTTTCTCCTCGATAAGGTGAACTGAATGTATGAGCATTTTCTGATTAGTTGTTTAATTGGATAAGTGCTGAAGGATCAAGTTCAGATTGTTTTTTTTTGGTTAATATTTCTATTTTATCGAAAAATTTAGTGAGAATATAGTTTTGCTTCTTCTTGTCTTTCAGCGAGTTTGCAATTTGTGTATTTCAATTTTTCCTGGTTCGTCTGGTTTAAATCTTGAAATAGTTTACTTCACAATGCAGCTAATTGTTATACGGTTTTCCTGTACCACATTTGTAGCTATTGAAGAAGACATCTACCCAACAATTATCGAAAGATGCATCCCTTGTAGAACAATTTCATCAGTCATTGGAACAGGTGAGTCATGATTTTGGAGTATAATTGAAGTTTCTATTTTGATTTCTTTTCTATGTGTACATATTGACAAAGCTCTTCTCAAAGGGATAGAGAGGTTATGTTTCATACTGTTCTTTTATGTGTCTCAAATTACTCTTTGTATAAGTTAGATGGTTCAAGGACTTCATGGGCTGTATTGAACAACTTGCCTACATTCTTGGAGTATCTCATGTCTCAGTCTAATGAACTAATATGTAGCACATACAAGTGATAATATCAAATCAGGAGAATCGGACTATTTGAGGAGATCTTGAGGGTGTATAGTTGCAATTTAGCCCCCTTTTGACCTATCTAATTTGTTTTGATAGGCTATTTAATTTGGTTTGTAAAAATATGATACTTTTCTTGCCACCCTCCTTCATATATGGTTGCTCGTAATCTAAGCATTATGTCTTTCTAGACCATAATTTACTGCGACAGAATTTAGTGGATGTAATGATATTTGGAACAAACATGCATTTAAGAACTGTTGGAGGACTGCCTAATGGAACCAACAAGAAAGTTCCATTACATGTCCACTTTGGCTTACTGATTCTTTGAGGATTGTATTCTTCAAATGCAGGGAAGTTACTCAACTCTAACACTTGTTTCATAGCTGTTGTTTGTGCAGAGGCTTGACATATTTTGTCCTTTGACAGGGTTGTGAAGTTTCAATAAAGGAGCTGGATACCCTGTTGTCTCTTCTGGCAGAGAAAAAGAGAAAAATGGAACAGGAAGAGGCAGAGAGAAACATGCAAATTTTGCTAGAATTCTTACACAGCTTAAGAAAGCAAAAAGTTAATGAGCTCAACGAGGTTTGTAATAAATCAATGAAAGAGATCACGACATCGAATTATGAACACTTGATTATGACATAGCTGTTTGAGATTTGTACATGGTAATGCTTGCACTTTCGTTTTTCTATAAACTTATTTTTGAGTGGTTACTTGAGTTAAACTTATAGATATCAAAATATTTAATACCGTTTGTTTCGAAGCATAATTAGATCAAGGAATATTTTTATTTTTTCTAATGAGGACTTTCATTATCAAAATGTAATGGGAATTCAGGAATTCTTTGAGCTCTAGGTAGTCTCTTTAATTATATATTATCCCAAGTTTTGTCTTTAGTAATTTTCTTGTGTCTAGATTGTGAGCGTATTTCTGCAGTGTCTTGATTATTAAGCTTTCTGAAATCAGATCATGAACTAATTAGCTGGGTCAAGTGCTTGTTCAGGTAGGACATTCTTAATTCAGTGATCTGATCATTGACTGAATTTTTCAATTTTTCTGCTTCTCTCTTAGGTACAAAATGACATCCGGTATGTTAAAGAAGACGTAAATGCTGTGGAAAGGCATAGGATAGAGCTATATAGTGCAAGAGACAGTTACTCAGTTAAACTGCAGTTGCTTGGTGATGATCCTATGGGATTGAAGTCTCCTACTTCATCATTCAATAGAATTAGTTCTAGCCATTTAAGCTCTGGAAATGAACAAGGAGGAATACTTTCTGAAAACTTCCAGCACAAAAAAGTGGAGGAAAAGGCTCGACTTAGCTTCCTTGGACTCCAGAGAAAGGACACTTCTTCCAGCAGTCCAACTTCACAGCATTTGAACCAAGCTAGCCTGGCTGTAAAACAGAAAAAGCGTGTCCATGCACAGGTTAGGGAAGATGTAATTAGAAAACTTTTAATTATATATGGTGCACCTCGTGGAATTATTTGAAAAAATATTGGGGTATAGTTTTCTGGTGTGGTTACCATAAAGTTGACTATCCAACCTATTTTTGTGCATCACATTTAATCTAAAAATGGATGCTTCCTGTACCAAACTATCTTAAAATCTTTCATCTAAGATTATGTGGTTAACCTGAAGAACAACGATCTTGACGTTCATTATTTTTATGGACAGGTTCCTTCCAGCTGACCTTGACTTCGTAGATTGAACCATGAATGCTGAATTGTCTCTTTTGTTGCTTCAGGCTTTTTGTCAACAAGCTATTCCCCGAACATCTGCGAAGTCAGGAGCCAGTAGATTTAAGCACAGTTTCATTGTTTTTGCTTGATAACAAGATTCCTTTAATTTAACAACATTGTTTGTGAATCAGTTTTTTTTCTCATCATGATAGATGATTATCATCCTTGTCTGCAGTTTAATGATTTACAAGAGTTTTACTTGCAAAAGAGACGTCAGCCAACCACACATTTACCTTCCCAAAACAAGAACGATAAAAGTATTATTCACAGAGAAGGTTATAATGCTGGTCTAGCAGATGTTCAATCTGTTCTCAGCACATTCACACGATACAGGTAGAGTCATCAATTTCTATTCCATAGATTTTCTTCCACGTGCATGCTTTGATTTCTTTATCTTCTATTTGCATTCTCTTATGCTGGAACAGTCGATTAAGAGTGATTGCTGAACTTAGGCATGGGGATCGCTTTCATTCCACCAACATTGTTTCAAGGTAAATTGGATCTTTGAATGAAATTTTCTGCACTAAAATATGATCACCAGATTGGCCTATCTATGTATTCCCACTAAATCTAAATTTCGTGATTACCAAACACTGTAAGGATGTAAAAGTTTGCTGATGGGAAATGGACAAGAACCTCAAC